CCCCACCCACACCCACACCCACCCACACCCACACCCACACCCTCAATAGTGATACTTAACAAAGAGTCTCTTTAGGCATGCTTTTATGGATATAAAGCATGAACATGTCTCTATCATTGATAAAAAAATCAGCTCATTTGCTTGGGCTATAAAGGAGATATTCAATTTTTTTTGGATCAAGTGACTTTTGCGCCACCTTGTACAATAAATTTTTTAATTTCTGGAACCCTATCATTTTGTTCAATGAGAAGTAGACTGATAACTAACATGTTCATTTCTATTCATTTGGTACCCTTTCGAAAAAAATAACTTAAAGCGCATCTTTTAATTTGAGTTCAGCATATAACTATGTATTATTGAAAGAAAGAATGAATATGTTTCCATGCCACTAAACACAATTCTTTACAAAACAAACGTATCACAATCGTTTTTGCACACTAACCAATACAAACTCAAAACTTTCTATGACACGTATTCGAATTCTTCAGCAGAATAATCGAATATCACTTAGTTTTGAAATCATAGAGAACTAACAAGACTGGACAAGAGTGTGTGACGATTTTTCGTTAGTGTAGATGGAATGTATACTTCATTATAGCTTTTTTATCTTGTATCGGCACACACACATAGTGACACACCGTTTCTTTTGTATACGAAGAGATGAATACAGAGAGAACACTACAGTCAGGACAGAAGAGAAGGACAATACAGTAAGAGAAGGTTGAATAGATATAAATATGCAAGTGGTGACAAGCGAAGGATCACATATACAATGAGAAAGATTGACAAGGTATATGACTGTAGGAGTGACAAGGAAAGACGATCAATTCGTTAACGAAAGAACGAAGGTGTGAAGTATCATATCATTGGCATTCCTGAGACTGTTACAGATAGAGGACTTTAAAATGGTCGAAAAGTTACAGACGTCCTCTATGGATGACCCTATACGAATACTGTATTTTTGTTCTGCATACGAAGCGTTGGGACCAAAACTGGTGATGATCTATAAGATGGTGAGTATATCATGTATTAGAAAAATGTTTATGTCTTTTTTTGTCTTTTACTGCAGATGAAAGATACTTTTTTGATTTTTGTGTGTTTCATACTTGTTTTTCTCCTCGCATTTTCAATTACTTCCTGGTCTTTGCTGTCTACCAATAAACAAATTAATTGGTTGTATGCAACTAATGGCTCATCGAGCAATTTTACTTTAGTGAGCGAAAACAGAGTACAGTGGAGTTGGCAATTGTTACGAGATGTATTTAATTGGGGCATTTGGAAAGTATTCGGACAAGTAGCTGAACCATTTAAAAATAATGCTACTGATATGGACGTAATTAGCGGTACGGACATATACATTTTTATTAGTACTATTGGCGAATAAAAACCTCCTTCCTACTTTCTTTAGAAAATGATGCTTATGGTACATTTGTTTTCTTGTATGCTGTTGCATTCGTAGTAATATCAAATGTACTTCTTTTGAATGTTCTGATCGCAATGTTCAAGTGAGTGCAGAACCAACGAAGAGTAGCTTTTAGAATATTTTTAATTTGATACCATGTAGTAAGACAATTGGGGATGTATTTGAAAAATCAACTATGATTTGGCGGTACCAGCGGTTCCAATTGGTTGATGAATTCTGTGAAAAAGCCGTGTTACCTCCTCCATTCAGCGTTATCTCCCGACTAGTGTACTTTATAATCTATCGATTATGCCCTAAGAAATGTACCATCTGTTTTGAGGGTATTTCTGATAAAATTAGACATACTTTTGAAATTTGATGGTCATTCATCCATTTTAGATGAGTCATCTGAGAAGAATGGCGAAAACAACTTGTATCAAATGAATGTTGAAAAAGAATATGCTGAAATATATTGGAAATCTAAGGTATTCATCAAAGGTATTCAATTCTCAACTGAAAAAGCTCTGCAAGAGTTGAAGACAAAGTAAGTTATGCATTATACTATAATGTGATATTCAATCAATTACTTATGCACTTTATTTATTTTGTTTTTTTTTTGTAGAGTCAACAGAGGATACGGTCAACAAGTAGAAGGCTTTAAAAAACTAGAAGACTTGAAAAACATAAAGGTAACATATTCATTGTATCTCACCGTTTAATCATTTGATACCTAGTGTGAATGTGTAAATTATGTTCCGATAGCAATACATGGAATACTATTCAGATTAAATAGTTTTGTCTAAAAATATTACGCATGAAATCATGTTTATTGTATTTTTATCTAAATTTTCAGAGGTTTTATTGAGATTTTACTGAAATCGAAAACCATTGTAAAACATTAAGTGTCTCATCCAAATATTCTTGAAAGTGATAAAGTGACTACACTTTCGCAATCAATTAATGAAACATAACAGTTCTTATATGATTCATCGGTGATTGAACAACTAGAAAATGATAAATTAGACGTGAATAAATCCAGTATAGATCCAGACATTGTAATTTCAAGTCTAGAAAAATTTTTGTTTCATCCACACTCTAGCAATTGGTAGAAAAACATATGTAGTTTCTTTTTATACATAGCTGTAATACATGAATAGAGATACTACTCTTGAATTATGATTAGAGTCGAATCGATTAAGTACTAAGCAGTAAGTCTTTCTTTTTCACTTCAAATCTTTTTCTCCACTGAGCACATCTTCACTGATAGAATTCGATCGACTACTTGGGAATTCACCAATATTAATTCTTGAAATTAATTAGAATCGGAATTGAATTGAACTTGACTATTATGCGAAGATTGCATATACTATGCATTGATCCATATAGTACTGTACAATACATAAAACTTCTGGAGATTAAAAGAAGCCTAAAATGGTTGATCTCTATAAATGACTAGTTTGGTCTCTTACGATTTTCCGAGATTTTTCGACCACTATAACAACTCATATATGGGAAAGTCGAATTAAGTAATATTGATCTGAAAAAATATACATAGGCTTCTGTAATTGGTTATAACAAAATGTAACTCTAATTTTATTTATCCCGAAATGGATACTACACGTCAAGTGCTTTTTGCTGTTTATCTTTTGTACTTTGTTCTAGATCATTTTCTTGAGCTTAATAGTCTTCACTAATCATAATAGAAAACTTTTGTCATCGTGTTACACAACGTATACTGTTATATGTAATTCGAACTAGCTGTAAAAATCATGGATATCATATTTGTTCGGAAAAACTCTCATTGATCTTCTGATATAGTCAAACGTTCTAAAGACACAGATTTGTACTGTAAAAATTTATGCATAAATATGTAAAGAGTTTTCAAAATAGTTTCGTTCAACGCAGAAAAATTTTTCTACTATGCCAATAACAACTTGATAGAATTGTGCTTTCATTCGATTGTCAACCATGGAATATAGTCTCAATTGTGATCCTTCTTCATCTAAACAGTCGATATTAGATTGACAAAAAATACGATCAATTTTTTAAGTCAAATAAAGTTTTGTTGAGGATGTTTTATTCCACGAGCTCTTTCTAATGAACCAGCATGTAACACGGATTTGTTGGCAATTTTAATTTGAGTCACATTTTGTTACAACCCATTACATAAATCTATGCATATCCTTTCAGGATAATATAACATAATCTGATTTCTGATAAATGATTTGTTAATTGTTGAAAATTTTCGTAAAACGGTGAGAAATCGAGAAAGCAATTTACAGAGGCATATACTTTTACGCTTTTTTTTAGTTTCGAGGAATTCTACATGTGGTGAAGTACGACATAGATCAAAAATCAGTATATTAGAATTTTCGTTTATAAGGCAAAGTCAATAGCGATTCTGATTTCAATTAGCTTCACACAAAAATAGGAAGTGGAATTGGTTGAATCAAAAATTGTGCATCTATACCTCTGAATGTTGTTGGAGCACCTTGTCAATGAGAGATCATCGACAGAATTACAGAAAAAGAGAATTTTTATTATTACTAATGTTTGATTACATTCCCTATGTCTCAATTAAAGAGAAGATGTGTTGAAATAATTAACGCCTAGTTATTATTGGCTTTGTTGAATACACACACGGGGATGAATCCATGAGAAGCGTACTTCAATATGGAAATTTATTTTTTAAATACATTTCAAAAAATTGAATTGTTTCTGAATCATCGACAGTTGACAGAAGTAGAGTGTACTCAAGCTAAAGATTGATGTGTGTACCTATAATTTTAAGATTCAGATCGTTTTCGAAGGAACATTAGTTAATACATGGAGTCTCTCATATCCTGAACGGGTTTTATTTAAGTAAACTTTATTAAAAAAATGTTCTCTTTTCGAGTAGAAAGTAAGATGGAAGTTAAAAGAGAGAGTGTAAAATCCTAGAAGAAAATGGCACTTATTAAAGAATTGTCTCACATCTGAATTATACCTCAGAAACATATAGGTGTTGAGTATTGATTTATAGGTCTTTTTATTCTATTTTCATAAAGGGGAAGGTTTGTTGCGTATAAAACTGCATTGACTAGAGGTCATGCATCGAACCAATTAATCATAGCAAAACCGTTTTTCGGCTCTGATTCACTATGTGAGAAAAATCTGGACATATATTACAAGCAATAAAGAAAAAGATAAGTCAATGTCACTTCATCGAATTTGGATAGTTATCAATTTCTTTAAAATTCTTCATAGATTCTTAAAGAATTATAGATACATGAGCTAACCTTTCATTTGATTAAGTAAATCTTTTATCCAAAACCGATTTAGAATCTGATTTTGTCTATCTGTCTGATCGATCGGAGTCTAATTGTCACCTCTGCCTCTTCAGAATTTGAATGAAAAAGTTTTCTGCAGATATTTGATAAAGTACTCTATCACTATTAAAATTGCCAACTCAATAATGACGATAATCGATTAGATATAGTGATAGAGTTTAGCATGTCATTTTTTAAAATTCATTTTCATGTTTCATCACGGAAAATAACTACATTCATTCAATGCTCCTCAAAGTTGATATTGTCTTCTAGTTGTGTAACCAGGATTTCAGGCTGCAGGATTGAACCCCAAACATTTTTAAAAATGAGCAAAATTAGTGCTAAGTATTTTTCATTTTTTAGCGAAGAATAGACAAATGTTCTAGCTTATATAAAGTATACGAGGATAGTTGAGGCCCGTATTTCAAGATTCGAAAATTTCTTAGAGAGTATCCTATGAGTTCACATTTATTATCACAAAGATTGCGCTTGTCATGTTCGATAGCTACAATAAATACAGTTCCACACAATGATTCGAATCTAAGTCATTGTCAAAGGTAATTTCGTACATGTTGTCCAAGGCCAAAACTAAGCACTTAAAATTAGCCGCATGCTGTTTTAGGAGCATAGTTATTACAATTGAAATAGTTAGTAGCAAAGCTCTTTCTACCACTACGTTTCAAAAATTAAAATAGATTGAGTTGGAACAAAGTAAAATCCGCCATAGCACATACGACATGATGGTTGATTCGAAATATATTTGTAGGTCCGTCCATGAAGACCTTAAGGAGTACCGAAGCTTTCTCTTTTGTCCGTTACAGCAGTATTAAAGAGTGTTACAACGTATCACCTGCAATCTGTTAGAATATAGTCGAAAATATTTTTCGAGTAACACATACCTGCTCTCAAGAGAAACATTTTCGAAGGTACTTTGTCCGATTTTGCTGATATGAAGTAAATTTTAGGTGACACTATCAGATAGTAATTCGTTTCATTACTGGCTAGAGCTCAGAGAAAAACGAAAACGTAGAGAACCACCTAGAATAGTCGTAATGCTTCGTTGCAACAAAATCTTGATTTTTGCTGTCACACATTACTTTAAAGGAAAATTATCTATTTTTGACATCACATACTTTTCAGTAAGCAAACTCGCATTAAAACTCGGTTCTTATCCCTTATACTTCTCAGTAAATAGCTTTCCAGAAGCAAAATTCGAATTTATTTTTTTTAGCAAGAGGGCCATAAGATTAGAACAAGAATTTTCGGTAGTCTGCATGATGTAGTTTGGGTGTGAGTGTGTGGATGTGGGTGTGGTTGATAAGACTATACTTCTGATACCCACACATACCCTTCCATAATAAATGTCGATTATTTATTTTTTATGCTTGTAATGCGACCAAAAGATAACATTCTTTTCGTTGAAGATATTTAACAATATTTGTAATGGCAGTGGATTGAAGAATGTAACTAAAGGTCTAACTTCTTTATTTAATTTGTTCGTAAAAAAGAAGCTTAAATTTTCTGATATTTTTAAACTTTAAAGTAAAAGAAAAGTTTTAACTTTCATTTCGAAATAAACAAAAATAAGATTTCTAATTCAAACAAGCACACAGAATACTTCTCCTCGTATAAGCGTCGCCAACTGGCGACATTCTGAAATACAGAAAAGACTAAGTTTATTAGCTATTCACTAAGATATTCGTTTCACTTTATTTGCAGGTCAAGATTGAACAAAATCAAAAAGACACAGATTATAGATTGACACAACTGTTGGCACCGCAAGACCTTACCATTCCACGAAGAAGTGAGTATGAATTTATTTCACCTCTATTTTGTTCGGATTAAAACATTCGATAAATCATTCTGAGCTCTTTCGTAATCAGATTGCTCAAATGCTTGAAAATGATTTGATGTATAATAGGTCTTTTTGAATGAAAAAACGAAAGAACAACATGCTATGTCTAGCTCTTTTTTTCATACAACACCACAATGTTATGACACTTCTTCATTTCATTTGACTATCATATTTCTATTGTCCTGGTACTCGAATTATTCGACTAATGTGATGACTGATATCTAACTAACGAGGTTAGTCTCAACGTGGCATTGAAGACAAGTGAACAATTTCTCACAAATCGTTATCGAATACTAGCGGCTTTCCTGGCGTTAGAGTTGAATTTGTTGCGATTCAATAATATATGCTATCAGTGTAAAAGTATATGCTTTGTACATCTGAATATATATTTTTTTTTAAGTCGGAGGTATCTTTGTCATTGAGATTTACAATAATCCAACTTGGACTAACACCAGAATGAAACAATTTTTTTCAAAACTGTTCAAGAAAATTTTCACGCCTCTCGACATAAAGTTAATACAGTTATTCAGAACATTTAACCATGAAACTATAGTTG